TCTATCTTGAGACTAGGTATTAACAACTTTTAGTTTAGTCTTAGATTAGATTAGGAGGGACCTAGAATCTTGATAGTAGCTGGAAGTCACTGATTGTTGATCAAAAGCTAGGATGTACTGTTCTATACAGTGAACTACTTTTAGGAGATAAATGGCTTCTGTGGCAGATCGAACTTGGGCACATTTAATGCAGCCGAGTTAGTCTGAACCAAATCTTAGAGCAGTATATAGTTATGTCGAGATATAATAATGTACTGTATATTATCTTCTGATAGACTTTCTATAATAAAGGAAAGGGCAAGATCGCTCAAGTGGAAAAAAAAATATATATATATATATATATGCAAATTAAGATAAACAAAACATGATATAGGAAAATCTATGTATTATATACTGAATATTAGAAACAATATACACAAAACCAAAACTAGCTAACTCATAAGTAATCAGAAAAAGTTATCAGAAATTACTAAAAAATTATGAAATCATTTCAAAGAATAGAATATAGAGTTTGAAAGTATATAGAATAGAACAAAAGTAATAAAACTAAGAGTTCTACAGTTATGAATTATAGCTCATTTAAAAGATCTCTTTAAGCTGGATTTAATAGTAAAGTCTAAATCTATCTGTGACTACTAAGTTATTTGTAAAAGTGATATAATAAATAAAGTACATTCAAAAAACTAACTATTTATAAAAATACTAATAAAATAATAAAATAAAATAATAAGATAAAATAATTAAAACTCATTTTATAATATTAGATTTAGAGATTTCTTTATTTTAGATTTCTTTAATATCTTCTATTAGATTATAACTTTCTTTACTTCTTTCATTCACTAGAAGTTGCTTTTCTGATAAAGCTTGTACTTCTTCTATGCTATCAACTATCTTTAAGGAATTTGTTTGATCTGTTATTTCTATATCTAATTTACTCTCAATTTTGAGTACTATTAGTTTATCTTTTCTTATTAATATATTCTGAGTTATTTGCTCTAATAATATTTTAACTCTATTAATTTCTTCTGTTATTACTACTCTCTCTATTACTTTCTTCTATTCTCTTACTACTATTTCTATATTGCTTTCTGAGTAGAGATCTTTTTGAGCTATTTTTTTGTTTCTAGCTAATCTTTTTTTGTTTACTTTTATGTTGTTATTACTATTTTTATCATCTGTATATACATCTAATTTTTTTTTAATCTGTTTACTCTATATCCTTATATATATATTTTTTTTTTGAGATTCTTTCTAATGTATTGTTTCTTTTCCTTTATTCTATTTTCTTTTTTAAGCCTATTTAGAGTTTTCTTCTAGAGAATCTTGTACTATTTCTTTCATCTTACCTAAACTTTTTTTACTTTTTTTTGAGTAGTTACTCAGTATATTTTTGAGATTTTTTTATTGTTCCAGTTTTTTTCTACATTCTGCTTTTTTATAGGTATCTATTTTAGCTTATTATCATAATAATATGCTGTGAATCTTGAGCTATTTAGCATATCATTTTCATTTGAAATGTAAACTGTTACACTTCTTATATTATTATCATTAGTATTCTTAAACATATATAAAGACTTTGCTTATGTTCTTTTGATTTGTCTCCAAAGAAGCACCTCATTTACATCTTCAGGCAGGTCTATTAATCCTTTAGAGTATTTGTTTCTTGCTTTTAACTCTTCAAGATTGTATTCTCCTATTGTGATTCTTATTAGATAATCTCTTAAGAAAGAGATATACTATATTTCTTCTAATTCTGCTATATTTACAGAATCATATACAAATTCTACCTCAGCTCTTGTTTTCTCATAAGCTTCTTTAATTATTTTAATGTGTTTGATTCTTCTGAGGTAGCATACTGTTTTAAAGATTTGAGGTCTCTTTGCTCAAGTTGGAAGGTCTCAAATCATGACTTGTAAGCCTTTTCCCTCTTCTTTACTCATGCTCTATTTTGTTGTCTTTATAGATTTGTATTTTTTACTAGAGTTTTCTTCTTCCTTATCTTTGGTCTTTATTACTTTTACTTTAGAGATACTTTCTGTTAATTTTAATTTATCAACTAGTATAGCTAATATTGCTTCTTCAAGCATGTTAGTAATATTATTAACTTTTTCTAGAGCCTATACTTCTTCTTTTTGTTTACTTGTGAAGAAAATATTTATAGCTAACTTGTTTTTGTTTGCTAATTTCTTGTTCAAATATTCTACTTCTTGCGAAATAAAAGACTCTATGCTATTCTGAACCTGTTTCTCTTCTACTATTATTTTTTTAAGAAGATCTACTTCTGTCTTATTAACCTCTGAGTTTGAAACTTGTAGTTTCTTTATATCTTTAGTTCAGATATACTTTTTTTCTTTCTCTTTTTCTTCTTCTGTGTTATCTCTTTCTCTACTTTTATGTTCACTCTCTGGACTTTTTTTTTTTTTTGTAATTACAAGTTCTTGTTTTAGTTCTCTCAGTGCTTTTTCTAAAATTTTTTTTCCTTCCTCTAAGATTACTCATTTTAAGATTCTGTATCAGTTTCTAGTTATAGTAATAATTTTTATATTTATATCTATAATTCTTGATACATATGAGTCTATTTTTCCATAGCTCTCTTCTGTTCTTTCTATAACTTTTGCTAATTTTTGTGACTCTTTTTCTTTAAATAATACTTTGAGAGTAATAACTTTTTTTGATTCTATTAAGTCTATATTTTGGTTCTTATAAACTTAATCTTCTCTATTACTTTCTTTAGTTATCTTTGTCTTTCTTACTAATACACTCTCATTCACAAAATGACCTTGACTTTTTTTCTAAATACCTTATAATATTTTCTATTTGCCTATAATATTTCTAGCTATTGCCTTATATAACTCTATTTTGTTAATTGCTATATAATATGTCTGGTTAGTTTATAGTAAAATATGAGATATTGTTTACTTATCCTTTTATATATTTGTGTTATATAAAATAATCTGCAGTACTAAGAGTATACAAATCTCTAATTTTCTAAAAAAAATTTTTCATCAAGAAAAATTAATGAGTTTTTTTATATATAGCTTTTAGTTAATTTCTGGTTTCTTTAGTCTTCTAATATAGTATATATAAAATTTGGTCTTCTTTAACTTTTACTAGTACTATTTGTATTAGTTTTTAGTGAGATACTTAAGTTAGATCAGATTTTCTTTTAGCTCTAGAATTAGTTCAAGTAATCGTCAGTAAAAGTATGTATAATTTATGAATATAAAAAGTTTTTAGAGAATTATAAAATTAATGAGATATATATATTAATAGATAATTATAGAAAAAGTTAACAGAAAAGAAAAACTAGTTGAAGTATATAAACAAAAGTTTGAAAAGTATAAGAAGTTTAATAATAAAGAAAAAAAGATTAAAAGAAGAAACTAAAGAAGTAAAAAATACAGTAAATTTTTAGATAAAAATAATATAAGAGATATATTTAAAATGATAGTTAAATATAAAGATAAGTTTAAGAAAAAAGATAATAAGTATAATTGTATATAAAGATAATATAATAAGATAGTTCAAGTTAGAGAAAGAATTACAACTCTCTCTATTAATCATTCTGACTATTTTTGAAGCAAAAAGAAAATTGAAGAAAATATAAAATTTCTATTAAGAATAAATAGAAAAGCTACTAAGTAAAAGAAAGCAGAGAGAAAAATATATATAACAAAACTGAAGAATAGAAAAAAAGTCTAAGAAAACTAGAAATATAGAAGAAGTTTTAACTTTAAAACAGATAATAAAATAATTTTTTAAAATTTTAGAGAATCAAAGAAATCTTAAGATATAGATCACTTGATATAGTACAAATATATGCAAATTAAGGGATGCAACTTTTTCCGACGATCATCAAAACCAAAATAACGGAACAACAAAAAAGTTATTTTTCTTGCGCTACTACCTGGTAAAGCAA